TATATCAAAACTTCATTTTTGATTAGTAATATGCATTGCTAAGAACTTCATTTGAACAACTTTAAAGGCGATTTTCTCAATATTTAGATTTTTTTTTGCACCCTCAGATTCCAGATTTTTAGTTGTATCTCGGCCAAATATTGTCCTATCATAACAAACCATACATCAATGGAAAACTTATTTATTCAGCTTTATAAATCGTTTATAAAATGACGTATAAATCTCAATTTCAAAAAATTGACCCTTTTGTGGTCCAGGGTCACATATAATCAGGTTATCCTTCATTTTGGTCTGTGCCTACCCTTGTGAAAAAGTAGTACACTTTAGCATACATTTATGTTGAAATAATATACTTGAAAACAATATACTTATGTACAAACTACATGAATTGCATGTTAATTGCAAATCAAATGAAAATGTATTGTAGTTTTTATTAAATTTATATTAAATGCAATTAGCTGAACTTTACAGTGTTTTTGACCCACTTAAGTAGGACTTAAGTCCCCATCTTTATAATTATTTCTGTTGTCTTTGAAATATGGTTAAAGTACTGCTAAATGTACTGACAAGCATTTATGGTAAACTAAAATATACTTTAATGTCATTTCTGTTGAAACTTATCAGTCATGTATTTAAATGTATTTGTAATTACACATTTGTAATGAAGAATTGCAATTAAGTATATTTAAAATATGATCATTTTAAATGTAATATAAAATAACATACTACACTTATAATCAAGTACTTGTATGTTAGTCAAACATTTTTTTAAAGCACAACAAAAATCTTATTTAATCATAATTGTGTAAAATGTACTTTAAAGTAAAACTTTATAAAAGAGCACTTAAGTCTGTTAATAAACAGTCATATAAGTGTCTTGCTTTGAGTAATTCAAGTGGCTTTTTATTTCTTTAATAATCATTTATTTTATTTATTTTTATGCATTCATAATCTATAAGTACAGTTTTAATTTTAAGATTTAAAGTACACTACAAGTGCACATTCAATACAATTAAGCACACTTCTTTTTCACAAGGGTATCTTTTGCATGGAAAGACCAGTTGTTTTGTTATTGTTATTTATTACTAATCGATCTGTAGTTTGTTGTGGTGTGTTTTGTCCTGCTGATGTTGACGTTTGGGGTCCACAGACAGTCTGGAGTTTCTTGGTATAAAAAAAAAAGATTTATAGCTTTGGTGCTGATTCTGTCTCTGATGTCCTACAGCTGTGTTAAAGCCCTACATTAGCCCCGAGCCCAAGTGTTTAGAGCTGTTTGCCCGAAGTCTCCAGTGCGACTGGACCAGCTGGGGAAACGAAGCCATCAGGTTCCAGCACAGCAGCTATTTCACCAGAGAGAGAGTCGAGGAGCCGTCTGGGACATCTGAGACGCCTAATATTATACCTAATATTTCTAAATCAGCTTTCAGTTCACTTCCTTCAGTGGACCTTGTGTGATTTTAATAAGTAAGCTGCAGTACAGCCGTGTCTTCATCAGAACAGTGTATTTTAATACCAGACAGAAACAACTGTATTTCTAGATTTGTCTGTCTTTGGAAACATTTTTAGTGTGTGTATCAGAAATGTTATGGCACGATAATTTTTGAGGATAATTTGTACGTCATAAATTGATTTTTGTTGTAAATATGCCTGACAAGATTGTTACACTGAATGACATTGTAGTGGGTCTCTTCTGTAAATCAGGGAAAAATGTATGATATTTATTTTTTGCTCAGAAAAACAAAAATAAAATTACATTAAACAAATGTACAATAAGACTATGTTTGTTCATTTGAAGACAGAAATTTCTGCTAAATGTTTGTTTCTGTGGGGCCTGACATTTTGTCAATTTATGTTGAGACAGATGGACGTGGAGTTGTAAATTTTATTGAAAAAAAAAACAATAAAAATGCTGTCAGCCTGATCGACAGGAGAAGAAAATAAAATCTATAATGCATGACAGATCCATGGCGTGATATTTCCACCAGAAATAACCCTTATTAGGGTGCGAGTGTGCTCATTATACCACGGTGTCAGACTGTTTTCCTTAATCTTAAGCGTAAAGGAGTATTTCAACACCATCAACATCAATTGCATGTGTCAGTATTAAATCTAGAGTATGATTTCGACAATGAGTAGGTCCTGAGACGTGTTGTCTAA